GTGCACCACCACATCCAGCAAGATAGCCTTTTGTGATCTCCTTGGAGTGGGAGGAAGGTTTACACCTGTCCTTGTATCCCTGCGAGTGGAGCCCTTTGGTGCTGCAACGAAACATGGAAACACTTCCTATAGAATTCCTCATATTGAATAGTTCTTGTTTTTGTCTCTCTTTCCTCACATAGGACTGAACCAAAGTCCAAATACATAGGATTTGCAAATATCTCATGTGGTTTTGGCTGTCTGACGTTCTGCTCACTTCTCTGGTTTTAGGTTTTCATCTAAGAGTTAACTAGATTTTCCCACGGTGAGACTGTTTTTTAATATCCCTGAATGAGCAGATTCAAAATCACAAATAAATATAAATAACCTCCCTAAATTAAATGGTACAAATTATAGTCACCCTAAATTAACATATAAATATAATGCAATTCCAAAATATTAATTATTAGAACCTTATGTGCATGGTTATATTTCAGACTAGGTCCCGGGTTATTATTTTGTTTTCTCCAAATAAAGTCTTGAATGTCTTCAAGGATTTATTCCTCTAGATCAGGTGTCAACAAATCCCCTGGACCAAATCTGGGTGGCTGGCTGCTTTTGTAAATAAATTTTTATTAGAAGCTCGGCGTGGTGGCACATGCCTGTAAATCCTAGCGTTCTGGAGGCTGAGGCAGGGGGATCACTGAGTTTGGGACCAGCCTGGGCTACAAAGTGAGCTCAAGGCCAGCCCGAACTGCATAGTGAGACCCTATCTCAAAAAGACCCCCCCAATTTTTTTTTATTAGAACACAATCCCCGCCCACTTGTTTCCACAGTGTCTATCCACTGCTCTGCAACAATATTTGAAAAGTTATAACACAGTACAGGTGACCCACACACCTCAAATGTTTTTTGGCTGGTCCATTCCAGAAATAATTTGCAAACCCTATTCTTCTCTGGCACCAGGAACCGAACTCACGACCTTGCGCTTGCCAGGCAGGCGCTTTGCCGCTGAGCTAAATCCCCAGCCCCTGCAAACCCTATTCTTGATGAATTTTGCAATCGACATGTCAGTTCTTTCCCTTAATTGGCGAGTGGTTCAGAAAGTACACTGTTCAGGTCTGGCACAGTGGCACACACCTGAAATCTCAGCACGTGGAGGGGCTGAGATGGAGGGTCACAAGTTTGAGTCAGCCTGGACTACAGAGCGAGACCCTGTCTCAAAAAACCAAACCAAACAAACAGCAGAAGACAGAAGCCAGGTGTGGTGGTGCACACCTGTAATGCCAGCACTGGGAGACTGAAGCAGCAGAATCACAAATTGGAGTTCCTCCTGGGCCATTTAGTGACTTTTTGAGACTCTCATCTCTTTTTTTTGGTACCAAGAATCGAACTCAGGACCTTGTGCTTGCCAGACAGGCACTGTGCTGCTGAGCTATATCCCCAGTGAGACCCCGTCTCAAAAACAAAACAAAAAAACACACAAGGGGATGTAGCCCACTGTGAAAGGCCGGGTACCACCAAAACAGAATAAAATAAAACAAAAGCCCCAAAATGCAAAAATAAGAAAGCAGACTTCTTGGATTTAAATCCTCCCTCTCATAATTTATCTTGGGCAAGAGGCAAGAGGGGTGGGGGAGGCCTTGGCTTTACTTAACTATCGATGGTCTTTTGTATAAGTTTTGTAGTTTTTCTTCCCTTGCCTCCCTCCCTCCCTCCCTCCCTCCCTTCCTTCCTTCCTTCCTTCTTCCTATTTCCCTTCCTTTTTTCCTTCCTTCCTGCTTTCCTTTTGCCTTCTTCCCGGTGCTGGGGATGGAACGCAGTGCCAGGCCAATGTTCTGTCACTCAGCCCAGCTGCGTCTCCAGCCCTCCAAGTTTTCTTTATGTTGGTCTTACATATTTTATTTAACTTTAGATCTAATTTTAGATGCTTTGTGTTTTTTCTTTTGGGGCCCTTTACGA